ATCATATCCGACTATGCTGCTTTTTTCTAACTTAATCATTTCGATCTTGTTTGCAAGTTAGAATTGGTCGAACCATGTGTGACAACCTGTAAATCATTCTTTTTACAGCTTCCTAAATAAATAATTATATATTATCGTTACATTACAATTGAGGAATTTATATGATTATTTTCAGCAATTTCCTTTTCCTATAAAACGAACAAGGCTCCCAAAACAATGACAGAATTTGTGCTATTGTGAAATTGAGAAATTCAATAAATTCTCGAGTTTGAAGAGCTGCTATTCCAAACTCCATATTAATCTATCTTTACACATTGGGTCATATGCTGTAATTTAAAAGGTTTCATTAGTATATTAGTATTGTAAAATTTTATTATATAACTGTAACTTTGCGAAAATACCAATTGTTTCAGAAAAAGCCGTTAATGCGTCTCCCGCACGTTCTTTAACTAAAGTAACAATCAATCATATAAACAAGATATTATATTTTTAAAAAAATAGTTGTAAATAATAAAAATAAACGATCTTACTTGGTATTGATCATGCCGTTGATGTTTTAAATGATGGAACCCTTTTGACAAAGTATCTCCATTATATTAATTCTTTTTAACACATACAATATTAAACATCCAGGTTTAATAGAAATAACTTGATAAATCAAACGGAACCAACTTCTCAATGGCTAATATAAATAGTAAAAATTCAGCATAGTTCTAAGTTACTAAAATAACCAATTCTTTTCACGAACCGGCAGTCTGATTTTCGGAAATCAAATTCAGCAAACTTGGACTCGATAATTTCGCTAGTAAACTTATATCTGATAACTTCTTTCTACTCTTTTTGGAAAATGGAGCAACAGCATTGGTAGAAGCTTTTTTTAAGGACTTTCTGGCTTTACTGCTGGGACGTATTTCCATGTCCCTTTAAAAAAAGGCAAAATGAGTTGAACTATACTATAAAAATATATCTAAGATTAAATTAACTACTCCGAAATGCGACGCTCAGCTTCATTTTTTTGCCACAGGTTATCCCTTTAGATGCATTTGCTTTTCTGGATGTGGATGTTTGAAATATTACTTTAACTTCGGCATTTTCATAACATGTTTTGACTTTCTCTTTTTTATATCGTCAAGCCCTTCCAAGAAAGCGCTCATTCCTTCTCACCAATGACATTCACCCTTGTTCCCAAACCTTCAAAAGATGATTAAGGACAGGTTCAATATTGTCGTCAGAAGCTTTCCCATTATTTAAGGTAAAGATTAAATTTGTGCCTTTTGTGATGCAATTTTAATATTTTTTATCTGACAAGCAATTTCATGGGCCATCGCGGCGAGGGTAAGCCGTCGATGTTTTATTCTTTTCTAATTTTTTTTTTAATATTTTATTTTATTTTATTTTTTAATATTTTGTTTTTATTTCTTTTTATTTTAGGATCGATCGGTTCCTCCGTTTTGGCTAAGAACCGGACGGAACCTTTGAACGGAACCGATCAGCTCATCACCGCGCCGACGATGTTCGATTTTTTTCTTTTTTTTTATTTAATAATCTTTTTATTTATTTGTGTTTTTTTATCTATTTAGATTCGATCGGTTACCTACCTAAGGCTAAGAACCAGACGGAACCATTAAACAGAACTGACCAGCCTGTCACCATGGCGAAGGTAAGCCGTTGATGATTTCTTTCTTTTATTTTATTTTTATTTTTGTTTTATTTATTTAATATTTATTTTTAAATTTTTTTTTTTATTTCCTTTTTTTAGATTCGATCGAATCCCCCACTTAGGCTAAGAAAAGCACTTATAATTTCAAAAATTGAAAAACCAGCGAACACCTTTATCAAGCTCTAAAATTTGTGGAACCCTTTAAAATAGGAGAAATTATGAGGCGAATAATGTCAGTTTAGCCTGATATCTAGCAAGAAGCGGTGAAAGACGAGCCGATTGAATTACTAATAATTATTTGCAATGAGACATGCATTGGGCAATTCTGCAAAAATTTAACCTTAAAGAAAAATCGGGCAGTTGTCCAAAAACTCTTGGATACTAAGCATAAAATACTAATTGAAGATACCAAAGGACAAGCTAACAGTTATCGGAATGCCTATTTTGGTAATAATATGAGCGAAAAATAAGCCTTAGCACTTAATTATGGGTCCAGCCATTCATCTGATTTTGAAAAAAGCGAAGCTAAAAAAAAGATAAAACTCATTTTGGACAAAACTGATTAGAAAGAATTAATGGCACAACGCTCCTGATTGCGGGTTATTCAACCATTTTTTGAGGTGAAAGAATTGCAACAGAAAATCTCCAAGTCATCCGAAAGGAGTTAATTCAAGCCATTGATATTCTAACTGAAGAATATTTATAAAGCTGACTAAGCTGAAAAAAATTGTTGAAGAAATTCAAGTCATAGAAAAAGCGGCCACTGAAAAAATTAAGCAGCAAATTGGAGAATGAAACCCTTCTATATTAAAGGCTACCCATCTAATAGAATTACTTAAATATAAAACAATTGGTGAAAATTTCCAACTAATTGGCTTGGAAGGAGAAATTAAAGTCCTAATTAAAGCCTAACGCCAAGCAGCAAAATCTAACAGTGATGAAAAAAACTCTGAATTAATCACTGAAATAATCAACAAACTATTTACTTTTGTGAGTGAATCAGGAGAAATAAATTGACCGTATAGTGAAAAAGTTAAACATCCAAGAAGTTAAAACCATCTTAAAAATATTGGTAAATTTGAAACTGCTACTTGGCAGAACTACTTAACCTACTGACAAATCATTAATCCTAAAACTGGCTGGATATATACTTACAACTGAAATTTCTGCGACTAGTATGCTTTTAAGCAGCGAAAAAACTCACGCAACTTTAAATAATTTAAAAAGAATTTACAAAGAGCTAAGCGAAACTGAATTTATTTACCAAAAATCTCCTATGCTTTATAAGTATACTAACAACTTAGGTCGTATTAAATTAGAAGGAAACTTAACTACTGAACACGTATTGGCCACAATAAAAAATAATATATTAAACTTAGAAAAAGCAAAAACTATTAAGCAAATTCAACCAAAAGTTAATGTTAATTATGAGCAAGAGCATCAAGAATTGGCCAGTAAGGAAGGTTTAGCCAAATGGTGAGGCTCTAAAAGTTGAGAAAATTATATTGAAGCAAGTAAAAGTGATTCTGAGTTTAGAAACGAGAATTAGCCGTTAAAAAAGTATTTCTGGAACCTCATTCAATATTAGAAGCATTGAGTTTTATAAAATTGAGATGATTGCTTTGACTTTAATAAATTAACAAATTTAGTGTTTAGGCCATGCAACTTCGATTTTTCGGTTCACGTAACATTGAAATCTAAAAATCGACCCGGAGACCCGGAGTTTATTAATGAAAATTTTTTATCAATAAACAAAGTTTATATATATAAATATTATGCCATCTGAGATTTATCTTTATTTGTGATATGAAAAAAAAAACCCCCCGGGATGACCATGTCAAATTTAAAATTTTATCTAAAAATTTAAAAATTTTCTTTGCCCGGCCTAATCATATGACTATTACAATTCATTTCAAAATCATCTTAACTCCGTCAAAATGCCTATTGTACATGTAAAATAAGTTACAATTCTAAAGATTTGAAGGATTGGGAAGGTTTACCTGTTGAAAAATAAAAGAATTTTTGGAAATATATCGATTCTATATTTATCACCTGACTGGTGGGAAAGCAGATTTTGAAATGAAGTTTATCCCATCAAAAACATTAGTTGGAGAAAAAATTTCACAATGTATTCACTTGGGAAGCTGCATGAAACTAATGAGTTGTAAGAAAGGAATTATACATAACGAAAATACAATAAAGCTTTAATCTACCAATAAAATTACACATGAAATATATAAACTTTTTTTGTTAAAATTTGAAAAAGTGACCCGGCCGGGTGACGTGAACCGAAAAATCGAAGTTGCATGGCCTAATCTAGACTATTTTCTACTGCTAGTTAAGCAATTAGAACCTTTGGTTAAAGAAATTAAAGCGCGAAAATTGAGCTAAGAAGACCAAGCGGTAACTATTCAAGCTCAATTAGCCAAAAATGGTGGAAAAGGAGCAGAATTTATGAATAGCGTAGTAGATGAGCGATTACGAACTTTATTATTTAATAGAAAAAAATAATAATTGAAACCTAAAACCAGACGGAAAGAACTGAACAGTCTTTCACTGCTGCGAAGGTAAGCCATCGATAATTTCTTTTTTTCTTTTATTTTATTTATTTATTTAATAATTTTTTTAAATTTTTTTTTATTTCCTTTTTTTTAGGTTCGATCGGATCCCCCACTTAGTTCGGTTCAATATTTTCCGAAATGTAAATGAACTTGCCCCATTCAAATCCTGGAAAGACCATAGAAATAAGGAGTCTCGTTCAATTACTTGAGCATGATCGGGACTTTCATCCCATAAATTTGAAGTTCAACGTTTTGGTATAATTGGAGTCTCTTTAAACTCTATGCTCTCTATTAAATTGGATGCCATTTGTTAATATAAAAGATCGGAATCAAATTCCAATGTCGCTCTTCAGAGAGCAAGGATACAATCCAGCGGCGTCAATGCTGTTCACGTCATCCCAAGTACTTTGTATCTGACAAACTTTAATATTATCTGAATCAAAAGTATGTGTTAATAATGGAAATGAATCTTCTGGTTGTGAACTCTTTAATGTTAGGAGTTAAATTATTATTTGATCGTCAAAACTACAGTCATCAATGGTTTGGATTTTTTGAATTTTGTCAATATTATTTGGTACATAAAAACTAAAGATATTCAATACCCTCAAAATTTCATAACCTTTAATCAAATTCTCATTAAAATCAAATACCTTCCACTCATCTTTAACCTCACATCCATATTAATTATTCTGTGTGTAATCCTTAAAGGCGTTCTTAATAGGATTGACACAAAACATATACGTCATTCCTTTCACTGTAATGAATTGATCGACAAATCCACAATTTCGATAGTTCCAATGATTTGTGATTTTGTCATTTTTTTCATTGAAAGAAATTGTCGCTTCATCATTTCTAAATTTACAATAATATTAACGATTCCTGATAACGAAGCAACTGTATTAGTTATTGAATTTAACACAAAACTGATATATATTGTTCATGAATTGGAATCAATTCCACTTCAACGAAATGCTGTTGAAATGTCAATGGAGAAACTATGGTTGTAAATCCCTGGTGATATTAATATTACTATAATCTCAAGTCGATTAGCCAATTAGCAAGAGAAACATTTGGATTATCAAATTTTTTTTGTCCGTTGATCCATTTGTTTGATCCAAACTTCAAATGATTTTGAGTCGGATCGGAAGAATTGATTGAATAGGACTATTTGTTCTGTCTTTATAAAAATAATAAAGGGAATGAATGATTATTACAAAAAAAAGAATTGAAATTTATATTTCTTTGTCATTTTGACGATGATTTAGCAATAATTGTGGGAAACAAGAATTTATATTATACTCGAATGACCTCTGAAATTTGAGAATAAGATAACTCATTTAACTGTTTACTAAAATTATTTATTTGATTGACCGTTTCACATGTTTCATGTCCAAATTAAAACGGGTAATAATGAAAAAAATTTTCAGGGTTTAAAAATTTTTTTACAAAAGCGTACCGTACAAGTTTTTCTTTGACATTTTGTTCCTTGATCAACCACATTTATATATAGGTAAAAAAAATTATGTTGTTATATTCAGAATACTGATCTGAACGTAGTGATTATGCTTTTCTTACTAAAGTATATAATTTTTGAAATTTTGAAAAAAAATATTAAAGTCCGTGATAATGCTGAGCCACTAAATAAAAATGACAAAGTAGCTTTAAACAATGCCAGGCTAAAATTGTTAAAGCAAGAATCAAAATTATAATATTTGGTTAAATATAAAGCCAAATCTGCTCATTACTGTATATTATTATTAACCTGATCACGACCGACCGTTACCATCTCTAAGTTTCCATGAAAAACAGTGCGTTAGACAAAATTTTCCTAATTCTAAATTTAATGAACATCAATATTATCGCAAAGGTTAAGTCCTTTAGTTTCTTTTCATTATTTTCCAGGAATTTAATTAAATATTCATCATCTGGACAATTAAATCCAAAATGTTATAATTTGCAATTGCGGAAAGGCAGCATATTGAAGTTCATTAAACCATTTTAAACCACCTATTTCGTTAATGAAAGTTCTTGTAAAATTTCGAAATTTCTGAAATTAGTGATCATGGTATACGAATACTTCTTTCAACAATGGGTAATTTGGTTAATGTATTAAACGGTTGAATTGTTTCTGTCAAATAACAATTCTACTCCAATTACTTTATATGTTTTTGAACAGAAACTAATTCTGCTAATACATTTGGAATGTAACCTCCAAAAATTAACATTAACGATCGTAAATTGTGACAAATTCGAGATAGTTTATAAAAAATTCAGTAGGAGTATTTGAATAACGCTTCAATTCAAAAAGATCTCTTAAACAATCTTCTCCGCCAGGATTGTTGATAAATGATGGTATATTTATGTAGTTTGTACGAGTGTAAAAATCCAAATTAGGTTTGATTCGTTAACATTTTAAATACTTCTCGTTCTATCGTCGTAATTTGTTGATTTTCTAGATTTAAAGGATGACGGAGTTTAAGGAACCTTTTAATTGAATTACAAATATCATTAATATGAAGACTCTGGATAAATGCTGTAATAATGAAATAATTAAAGTTAGGCCAAAATTGTAACTTCATTCTCAGATCAATTGTTTTTGATTTAAGTAGAGAAACCGAGCGAGAATTTCGTGTTCCCACAATTATAAATAATATTGGATAAATGAATCTATTTTCATGGTTTTTCGTTTATAAAATCCAATTTTAACTAATAATGTTCATTGGATATTTATCAAATGTTAATTTATCAATTTTATTTAATTTTTTTTTTCTATTTCGTTTTTTATTATTTCTAGGTTTTTTTTTTTATTTTTATTTACGTTGAAAAGTTCAATATGTCCTTAAAGAAAGAGATCTCAGGACATTTTGTTTCCCCGGCCAATATGTCCTCCGGACAAATCGATGTGCCTTGTGCATCATGTAGCCCGAACAAACTGTTCTTGGATAAGAAAAATATATACGTAAATGATGGCCTTAGACGGAAGTTAATCAGCTTTGCATATAATTGGCCACATGGTAATTATTTCACAATATATGCTTATTAAAAAGTATTATTAATTTAATTTAATCATGACTGGTTTTAATATAAATATAGACGTGATTATAAAATGGTTTTATATGATGTGATTATATAATGGTTGATTATAGACAGATTCTTCCCCTTCACCCTCTTTAAATTTTAAATTATAATTTAATTGTCTAGTTTAATGAGGCAGTATTTTGATCAATTGATTTTTATTAAATAATTTATAACTTACTTATCTAATATTAATCTTCTGTTTACCATTCTATTGTTTATAAATATAAACGTTAATAACTATAGTCTTTGCAAAAAGATTGATTATAAGTACTATTTTGATAATTAGTGCGATATTCGAATTTTTTCCTCCAAATTTTTCTTTCTATCTACCCGAACGAATTTTACGAAATAAGTCTGTACCGTCGTATTGGATTTAAAGCTCTATAATATTAGATCAACGTGATATTAACATGAATTAAAATAATAAAAGAATTAGCACTTTGGTTAAATATGCGCCAGGTCAAAGATTTAAATGCAAATTTTGACTTGTTCAAGCAATTTTATATTGAAAATCAAAAAAATTTCAATTAAACAATCATAAAGTAAAAAAATATTTTTTTAATGTTAAGTAAATTAAAACTTTGAGCGTTAAGTTAAATTTATACTAATAGAACATGTGATGTTGATAAATTAAATATTTTTTGATATTTACGATCTTAATTTGATGAAATCCGACTCTCGTCGGAACCGGTCCAGAGTCGGTTCCGGTTTTAAAATTGGTTAAAAATGGTTTGTAATGATCCTTATATATGATTTGTTACGTGATATAATTGCCGATCTCCGCAGTTTGTGACCAAAAAAAAATGCAGTAATTGGCTGTTCATTCGTTTAGGTGACAATT